TCGATTGAATCAGATTTCAAGTTGAGCCGTTTAGGCAACCTAATCTAGGGAAGTAAGTAGGTAATCCGATGAAAGTGTGTTTATTAATGAGGGACGGATCAAATAATTCCTCATTATATTATAATGATTATTCAGATGATTCGACCTGTTGTTGGACAACTGTGACACAAAAGCCAATTACAGACAATAATTGAAAATTTAAATTTTATTCGTCAGTAATCCATCAACTTAGTATAATTTGACATTCAGTCTATCAGGTAGAAAAGGCCATTATGGTACTGAATACATAATAAATACGGACACTTCACTTATTATCAATTTGTTAATAGACTTAGAGGCTTCTCTATCCTGCGATGGTGTATCTAAATAGATGGTATCCTGAAAATTCCCTTTTTTTATTGTCATCTCAGTCATTTACTTGTCTAAACCTAATTATATTTAATAATTATATCGACCTCAATCGACACAATTAGGACTTCGATTATTTGGTTTCCACTCAAATATGCCCTGTTGAAACTGAATAGATTGATATGGATGAAATAGCTTCTACCTACAATATTATAACTGTATGTATTCACTTGAATAAAAGTTCAAAAATGAATCTATGCTATGAATAACTTTTTTCGAAATCAATTGCCCTAATACCAAACTGATATTTTTGCACTCGACGCGCGTTTCGCCAACAAAGTTAGCATCCTCAGGAAAAGAAAATTGATACCTAGTCTAGTCTGGTTAATCCTTATATACTAAAATGTGTTACCTGAGGTTGTATACCCGAAGTCCAATATGGAATTTTTGCGGTAATTAAGGTAAGGATAGAAAAATCCAGTGATCCGGAATGATCAGATCAAACCAAAAATGAAAACAATAATTTTTTCTGTGGCAGATACAAGAAATAGTGTGCTTAGGATGTATTTAGTTCGACTCAATATTCGTTCCTTTGAAAGTAACATTGTACAATTCCTGTCCATCGTAAAAAAACAAAGTATTTGCAATGAAATTGAAGTACCTACAACTCAAATATCTATTTAGTATCATTCGGTCGAATTTACAAAAACTGACAATTCAGTTATTGATTCATCTTTCATTGCCTGGGTGTCAGCTTTCTGTATTGATAATGCCAGACTCAGACGATATATCTACCAGCATCCATGTAGCCTGTTTGTGGAATTACTATGGATCTTCATCAAGTAACGGCCGAATCAATCATAGAAAATATGACGTTTTGTGCACCTAACCTATCTTCCTCTATATAAATAAATAAAACAACTGTTGTTTATGTGGCTTGTGATGGTGGTATTGAACTATAATTTATATTTTGCCTCAATTGTTGATTTATAAAGATAATTTTCCTTTTTTAAAAGTAGAATATTTAGGTACGTATAATAAATTATTTCAACTTGATATAGGTGCTGTTGCCAATATGTGAATTAGAATCAAATTCCTTTAAAAATTAAAACCCAACATTTGAAACATCAATTTGAATACTTTTCGAAGTCAATTTGAAGAACTCATGAATTAAACTCAACTTTATTTTGTTCAAACTTGCATTTGCTGTAATAACCCAAATTGAGGAACATTCCCCATATCTCAATTTTGACAACGTTAACTAAAATCATTGAAAAACTTGTCAAAAGTAGGATAGTGGGTTTCTTGGAAAAACATAAAATTCTAGTTCCCTCATAGTTTGTCTTTCTACACAAAAAAAAACACGAATGACGCCATCATTCATTTCCCCGAAAACCTCTACATGACCCTAAATGATAAAGAATTGGCGGCAGCAGTATTTCTGAACCTTTCTAAGGCATTTGATTGCGTGGAACATGAAATCCTGCTGCAAAAACGTTTCCATTATGGAATCCCGGGAACAGCCTTAGAATGGTTCAGATCTTATATTACTGATGGTAGAAGTCAAAAAATAACATTGAGCAACAACACTTCTGATAGTGGAAAAATTCTACGCAAAGTACCTCAGGGGTCAGTCCTAGGCCCAATTTGATTCTTGTCATAATTAACGAAATGGCAAAACTTGATATATCTGGAGCATTTACCTTGTTTGTGGATGACACTACGATACTTTGGCGTAATAAATATACTGACACTTTGACTCGGTCTGTCCACTCAGATTTAGAAAAAATAAAAGAATGGTGTGAGTCGAGTACGCTAGCGCTGTATGTTTCTAAAACAAATCTGATAAAACATTCAAGTGGGACTTAGAACAAGTAATACTAGGTGAACACATGGTTGAAACTGTGTAACTAAATTTCTTGGTATATTCATTGGCAGTAATTTAAAATATGATACGCAAATTACTGCTTTAAAAAAGAAATTATCTTTTGGTTGCTTTGCTATAAATGTCATATCTCGTGAACTCAGATTCTCAGCAGCAATAAATGCATACTATTCACTTATAGAGAGTCATCTCCGGTAAGGAATTCCTTTCTGAGGCTCAGGCAGACAGATTTCGATGCAGAGTATATTCGTTATCCAAAAAAGGGCTTTGAAAATATTATTCAAATTGAAGATGCGTGACTCGTGTAGGCTACTTTTCTGCAGGAATAAAATATTAACAATATTTGAAATATTCATTCTAGAGACTGTCTACTCACTTCACAAACATGGAGGAAAGTTTGAAAGCCATACAGAAAGATCTACGGGTAGCGATAAAAAACTTGCCCTTCCACTGCCCACATCATTTTTGATCAGGCAGTCTCAAATCTATAGAAGTGGACACATATATAATCATCTACCAAAACATATTACATCAATTAATGAACTTAAAAAATTTAGAAAATCAGTAAAGAACCTTGTTTTGGGAAAGTGCTTCTACAATTTGGAAGAGTAGGTATTTTGCATATAAATTCTAGTCTTTCGGTATACCACGATGTATAGTACGATTTATGTCAAGTAATTTTAAAATTGCGTTGTTTTATTGATAACATATTTGTACATTTTTTCTTATCTTGGATATTTTTTGATTGTTTTTTTTTGGTCTGTTATTTTTAATCTTCACTGTATTTTTGTGAATACTATATAGTCTTAACAAAACATTTCATGTTTTTTTAACATTTTATGTATTTATAAACATGACACCCTTTGTCGACAAAAAAGTATTATATCTCAAAGTCTAAGAAATTGTCGACGACCCACATTTGTATAGCTATCTCTTTTCGATATACAACAAAAGCGGACGCCAATTAAACACTTATAGAAGAAATCGACTTGGTGTACATTTGTCATTTATATACAGTTGGATAAATAGTTACTGCAGCATAACATAAACTATCTGAAAACCTTATTATTAAATGATAATGCAGTAGTGCAACTTCGATCATTATAAAAGTTTCATTCGGTGACTAATCAATAAACTATAAAACATCTCTGACGAAACTCCATATCCAATATTCGCTTAACTTATGATGTTCTTCATCACTGAATATTTAGAGGATGGGGAACCCAGGGAAAATATTTCACCAAGATCACCAAGGTATTCTTTTCTTTTACCCTGCCAGGAATCGCTAGTTGAAAGTTGAAACCTCGTTAATCGTTAGGAATATAATGAACAGGAAAATGATACTGATGGTGTATGATGCTTCGGCTAATTCCATAATACGTAACTGTACTGTACACAAGACATCGCTAGTGATTCAAATTTCATTGATAAGAATCATGATGAAAAAAAAAGATGAACTGGATCATTCGGAGATAAAAAAACTTACATTTCTCAGAGTTTATTGTGGCTAATTCTTCTATTGAATTTGTACAGCATGCTTTCAATATAGTTCAGTTAAAATCATGAATGTTCCACGGTGGACCTAAACTTTACACACCTGAATCATTGAAAGGCACTCAGATTCAAAAGAGAGTTGAAGAATTCGTTGAAATTGATTATGATATGCTTCTACTGATACTTGCATAAGTAAAAAAATGTTGTTGAAATTCAATTGAATTTTAGATTTTTTCGATTCGAGTCGATTTGAAAAAATTGAATCAGATTTTCTAGAAATGTATTTAAGATCTGTAAAAGAAAGTAAATAATGCACCTCTTCGAGAGAAACAACTTTTGTATATAACAGCGTTTGAATTCTTGACAATACACTGTAATTTTCTTCGTTATTCAAGGACGTTTTTTGAATTTCATGTTATCTTAGTGAAGGGATGACACAAAATATTTTCTCTTTTAGATAATTTTCTGACCTGTGATGTATACGAACTACAATTCTCCTGTTCAAACTTTATTGGATAAATACATTTTCACGGTTACTTTATCCTCATCACCTTGTATGGGTATTGGTTAGCAAATTCTAATATCAACAAATGGATTCAAATTGCAAACACTACCAATGGTGGTAAAACGTTTAGTCAAATTACCAAATGCTACGAAGTATATACACTAATACACTATTATTAAACCCATTGTTTCATTCAAATTCTGACCTACCCCACTAGTGAATCTATCAACACAATTTGTTAGCTTGATTAATTGATTCAGCCAGAATAACGTTTGATAATTTTCCAGGAGCTGTATACTTGTTTATTTTTAAAATTCAGATGATTAAGAAATACTTTTATTTCGACTCTAGATACATTTCTAAAGATTCAGCCAGACTTACGTTTGATAATTTTCCAGGAGCTGTATACTTGTTTATTTTTAAAATTCAGATGATTAAGAAAGACTTTTATTTCGACTCTAGATACATTTCTAATTTAATATGTCCCTATCACCCCTACAGCCTACCTTATTCTCGAAAATTCTGCTATTTCAGTTATTATCCTGATTCCAACTTCGAAAAAATAAAGTTGCATCTGTTTGTTTATATTATCAATCGTCATTACTACCACATGAGTCCTTCGTTAATAAAAAATGCATTACCTATTCATATTGTTAATTTAAAGCAATGACCAATGACAATAACGCCCCACATTCAAATCGAGACGCAAAGAAACGTTTAAACCAAATCTAGGAACTTCAGTGCTGCCACCCGGGGGTGGGGGCTTCTATATATACCGCGAGAGCCGGCAGCCATTGCATTTCAGATCGACGCATCGACAGAATCGTTAGTGTTTTCTAGTTATAGTTATTTAATACATTTTCAAACTATCAAAATGAGGGAAATCGTTCACATCCAAGCCGGTCAATGCGGAAACCAGATTGGAGCCAAAGTGAGTATACAGTTATTATTTTGTTATTACGATTTTCGTTTGTTTGGTCGCGAAAATTCACCGATTAATTTCGTTGCATGTAAAACAGCCATCTTGGCTTCTCTCGCGACGCGGCTTTTTTGTTTGTCGGGGAAGTATTTTATTTCGGTTATCATCTAGTAGTTTGTACATTTGTGTTTCTTTGGATTCATTTCTACTTGATAGTTTTTAATAAGTTAGTTTCTGGTAAATATTTCGGCTGGCACCTGGTAATCTAGCCGGCCGGCAGATGTATTGATTTTTCAGAAAACGTTGGCATACGTGCATGGGTTGGGCAGGGAGCGGAAGCAGCTGTAACGGTTTCTAGGGATCAATAGTTTCGCAACGGTTATTTTACTTTTAGAAATTATATTTGGGTGTACCTTTTCATAACTGTTGGGGAATGTTTTTTGAAATTGTCTATTGATTGTTTGGTGTACTTTGATATTAGCATTATTTTTAACGGTTTTCAGAATGGTTTTCCGTTGATATGCCAGAGGCGTAGTCTGAATATCTGAAGAAAGGTTTCAAATTAGACATTTTTACGGTCTATTTATAGTTTTGTTGTTTGTTACAGATAACAGATAGGTATATTACTCAATAAAATTAAATGAATATTTTCGTTGAAATTTTATGGAAATTAACAATAACATTTAGGCTTGTAAATTAATAAATATCTATACAGTTACTATTGAAACATGCGTTTGTGAAAAAGTGACTCCTCTTACTCAAAGAAATTATAATTTGTACAATTCTAAAATTCTCGTAACTCGTATGTCGTGGTTACGCAAAAATATCAAAAAAATAATTTTCGAAAATGTCGCACGCTTTCAAAATTATACCCCCCATGTATATTAAGTTGTCTTTTTTTATCTTTCTAAAACGTAATCAATATCCAACGAGATGAAAATCAGCCTATCTATTTAATCTTGACATCATCAAAACTACTTGAACTTAGTATCTTGCTTGTGGTCCGTCTTTGGTGCCATACCCTTTTACCTGTTATTATCATTTACTTTTAAATGACTTCTCGCCTCTAATAATGCCACTCATTACTCTCATTAGGATTAATGACGCTAAGCTATCGGCCATTTCAAATCTCGAGACTGAAATTGATGCTATCTCTAGCAGATGTAAGTTTTCTTCAGCTTCAGTTCACTGATTACAGCTTCTCGTTAGTTAGGTCAACAACCTCTTGTTTTAAAATTAAATAGGCGTTAGAAATAGCATTTTGCACAGATTCTCGGATGGTTAACATACTTCTCATCTAGGTCTTCGTTTCTAAATTAGAAAGGATTAGAAACCAGATTTGATGCTAGTCTGTGTCCGGTTTTATGAGATCACGATACCAGAAGTATGTACAGGGTGTTTTGATGAAATTGAAATCAAGAATATTGTACATTCAATAATAGATGTGGAATATTTTAATTACCTTTTAAATTTGTAATTTAAGTTAGACTAGTCTGGAAATTTTGTGTGCAATTTGTAGTTTCGTTAGAAATGTATGGTAAAAAAAATTATTAATGTTTCTGGCAAGTTCGATAAAGCCCTACTTGATTTGAATCATACTCGAATGTAACATTCTATAGTAATAGTAAGCATTAAATTCTCAGAAATATTGCATTAAAACGAAAACACTTGATGTCGAAATTGTGTTTCTATATATTTTATAATCATTTTTCCTCGTCTGTTAAGTATAATTTTCGTACGTGCAGAGACAAAAAGGCAAAAATTCTTTGTTAGATTCTATAATCTTTTGTTGGTACCTCAAAATTTGCTTTGGAGGCCAATTTTTAGAAATCATGATTCAACAAAAACTATCACTTGAAATAATTTTGGTATCTACAGGGTGTTTGAATTCATAATAATCGAAGAAGAAAAATTATACTAAATATTCTATACCTACTTAGTTTTAGTTTTGAAAAATCAAGATCTGAAAATATTAATTCAGAAAAAAAAACAGCATCGAAAAGTAGAAATACTAAACATAGCATGGAATTTTTATCCAGGTGAGTGTTTTCTAGCATTTTTTGAACTATACAAAAAGTGATCTCAACAATAAGTCAACTGATTTATTAACAGTACATTTGAACATTGGTACTTCAGTAAGATCAAATTTAGTGGCGTCACAACATGGCTTCCTGTTGTCAGTGATGTCAGAACAAAGTATGTATACCTAGTGAAGTTTAGAACATTTTCAATACAAAGTGTGATTTTGTGAATTGTTACAATTATTCAGATTATTATAAAGGTAGGTGAAAAATGATTTTGAATACTGCTCAATTCTCTTCAAGGTGGTTGAGCTGGTATGTTTAAAAATTAGTAAAATTTTGTATTTTGTGAGCATTGATAGCTTTTTCGACAACAAAGCTGAAGAAATGATTATTCACTGTTAGATTTCCTTATAACATTCTGGGAAATTTAATACATAATATAGTTATTTCTACAGTTCTTCATAAATTTAAGAAATTAATTTTCATTCATACAGTAGAAGGGGTAGGGGGAAATAAACTGTCATTGCCATGTTGTGAAGTCATCTGACATTGGTCAAGCCGGTTTGTGTAGAGTCTGTCAAAAGTATGGACGGGTTTGGCATACGTGATAAAATCATCGATATGAATTTAGAAATGATTGACCAAGAGCCATTTCAGAAATTATTCACTAAAAAAATGAATAGGCCAGACTTTTGACTAACTCTGTAAGAGTGTTTGTGGTTGAAGCTTATTCAAATTTGTGCTTGTTTTCGCTCTCTTTCACATACATATCATCAATATCTAAAACCGACCACTCAGTTATTTGGAATTTGATAATGAATATACAAGAAATAGTTTTTATATTACCCTGGAGAAATTTTTGTATAGCTAAAGTCAGTTTACGGAGGGTCCAAAAATTATACCATGGATTACTACACAGTCGTTCAAGTTTTGAATACTTGAATTTATTGAGAAGGGACTATTTTGAGTAGAAGTAATATACCTATAACTTGAATCGTAAAAAGAATCACTCAAATATTTAGAATTCGAAAAAAAATGTAAAGATTTTTTGTATGACAAACATTGTTTAGGAAAGGGCCAAGGAAAATACAAGAAATTCCATTGACTTTCGAGAAAGAGGAATACAGTACATATATATCTCCTTTTCAATGAGTTTTTCCCTAAGACGTACCTTATCAATTTGCTCTCTCTATTTCTATACAAGCGAGATCTCTTTGAACTACTGGCAAATAATATCAGGAACTGAGTATAAAATTGAATAGGAATAACATTTCAACAGTTACTTACAAATGATGAATACGCTATGGTCTAAGGTCAAAAAATCTTTGTCAAATCAACGATAACATTCCTATAAATATGTGTATTTTTATTCGATTACAGAATTTTGTAAACAACCTATTTTTGGAAGAGAATAATGATTGTATTTTTTATATCTTCCCATAAAGTGTCCAATCTGTTCAAACGAAAGTTTTCTTTTTTTTTTCTTGCTCGCTATTTTATTGAATCAAAGTATTTAAAACCCGCATGAAAATATCGCTGATTTTTCAAGTTTTTTTTTTCGACCAGAGAAATTCGAAAGGGAAATAGGGAATTTCACGATAGTTATTTTTGTTTCTCTTTCCGTGAAAGGGACTAAGATTAGGAACCATCCCAATCAATTCGTGACTTTCAACACTGAATCAAATAAATTTTTATCACGCCAGCAATAAACTCGTTTGCCATAGATGGACTCGCATATTACGTCAGGCAAGTTCTCTGGTATGTCTATATATAGTCATGACCTGAGAGACAAATTGCAATTAACATAACCAGACTATGGACTTCCAATTTTGTCCTTGCAAAGTTGCGTCACTACCTGTTAGCAGCAATTCAAATATTGTATTGAATAAGTGAGAGATGACAATGCATTGCTTGATGTAATCTATTTTCAAATAATAATGGGCTCTCATCAGAAGATCTTTTTTCTCACCTGGACCTAAATTCAGTTACAAATGTAATGGATTGGTTTGCTTAGCTTTAGGCCTAAATTGGCAGGGAATGATGTAACACATTAGAAAATTTGTAGTTTGTTCTCAAATGCTCATTTTTTATTTGTTAAATTCTACCAAGAGTATATTAACACTAAATCAATTAAAAATCTTGCAAGAAGTTTGAACTTTTGTTTATGGTTTCTAATGATGTTTATAGCTGCAACATTGAGTTTGATTACTGTTCGGTAGTGTACAAAATATTTCATATCAAATATTGGATTTTTGGATTCCTTTTTCATATTATTCAAAAGAATATCAATATTCTCATATAGCTTTTTCAACCTACCTAGCTTTTTTAAATTAGTATCTTTGAAGTAATAAAGTTTCTCTTTATTTTCTTTTCTTTAAAATCTTGAAATATTTTTATGGTTATGGTACATTTAAAAAAAGTATCATACCAAATAATTAACACTCCTACTTAGCATCAATCGGGAACTGTTCACAATTTTTTCCAAATAATTTTCAGATTTTCAAAACTAACAAAATATAAAGTTCATATCACAAACTATTATTATTGTAGGTAGTGAGGGTTTATTGTTACTCAGACATTTTGAAAATGTCCAATAAATTCATCTTTTTAAACAAAGCCATCCAAGCTAATCTCTCTCTATCATCTATTTTTATTTATATATCACTTCAGATGTATGTGTGAGAAATTACTATCTCCAAATATTGAGAATTCTGAATTGATTTCTTGAAGGTGCATATATCCTATGAAATTCTATTCAGTTAATCAGTTATTTGATTATTTACTGTTATTTATTACTATTTCCTGCATTTTAAGCTACCCCAACTGCTAGATATCGATTTAACATAATTTATGTGGGGTTGTATAACTCGATGATTCATTGGGGGTTGAAGGCTAAACGATGAATCATGTAATGGTGGGGTAGATAATGAAATTCCTCACAACAAAATCAATTCTGGGAACAAGTAGGTGATTCAACAATTTTCTATGAAGTGTAAATTGTAAAATGATCAAATATTTGGAAGAAGCGATTACCAAATGTAGCTGAAAACTAAACATATCTACTTGTTGTGGATACGAGGAAAGATTCCATCTGAAACAACTAACTTCCTTACAAATATTAAATTATGCAGAAGAACTTTTTCCCATAAATAATTTTTCAACGTGCACATTTCCTAAACCTTTTTTTTGTCATACAATTTGATATCTAGTAACTTATAACCCAAATGAAAATAAATTCATTAGCGTTATTGGTTTGTTTCAAATGTGTATTTGTTAAATATTTCATGCACTACTCACAAAAGTAATCCATCAAGATAATAATATGTTTGTCAGTTTCAAGGTTGATTTTCTTTATCAACTTCTATCTGTATTCCATCTTCAGTTTAGATTATTTTTATAATTATTGTATTTATGACAAATGAGAAATGAAACTTTCTATGGTTTTTGCCACTTTTATTTGAGACTAATGTTGCTGAAATTTCGTTACAAAGTGATAAAAAACATAGATCATTTTTCATGATCGTCTTCCATCACGTAGTAACTAACAGCTACATCCATCAATTCAATTGTATTCACTTACATTTATTTCAAAGCTATAACACTAAAAATTTTAGATTGATAAAATTTTCAAATATCCGGCTTTTTTTAACTTCAAATCATTTTTGTGCTATCATAGCACAATAGTTTGAAAATATTAGGTTGTTTCAAGAGTTTTGTCCGTTGTTATGAGTCTACTTTAAACCGCAATATCTCAGTGAAAATGCAGTCATTTTAATTGATAGGCGACAGGTCTGGGAAGTATGGTGGGTGAAGCACAACCTCGAAGCTCAATTCGTTTAGTTTGCGGACGGTGATTTGTGAAACGTGCGAACGAGCGTTGTCGTGGAGCAGGATTTGACCTCTTCTGTTGACCAGTGCAGGCCCGACGCAATTTTCGGTACATTTCGTCACAATAGGACTGCTGTGACTGTTTGGCCTGGGGAAGTGCCTAGGTGGCTGACCGGTGTCCAGTCACTGTCCTGAACGTAACGACATCATATAGTAATGAGCTGAAAAGATGCAAAAAATAAAAATTTGGAAAAAACCAGCATCAGTGTATAAGAGTACAAAATTCCCAATCGATCAGTATATACCCCACAACACATTAGAATAAATATTTATTGAGATAAGGAGCTACAAAAACAGATGATATTAAAACGGACAAAACTTTTGAAACAACCCAATAACTGCCATTTGGATGACGATTACTACTCTAAATGTGCATAAGTTTCAAATCGTTATGAGTCACAAGTTTTAGAGAATCCTAGTAACATACAATTTCACGGATGGTGCATAGAGATACACTCCGACAGTGGATGAAGAAATTGGATTTTCATATATAAATATTTTCTGGAGATTGTTTTGAAAATATCAAGTTTTAGGTCAAAGAGAGTTTTGTCTTGCAAAAACATTTGAATCAAGTCCTCACTTAAAACCTGGTTAAGAGAAAATCACACCGTATTCATTCTCATCATCATAATTTATTGGACGAAAAATCTATTGAAGTTTGGGACCAATATTTCATTATATCCTACCAATTTAACATTTCTACTTCAGAACCATGTTTTGGACAGACAAGATTGAATACAGCAGTGCCAATTTTTTTTTTTTTTAGAACTTGAATGGTCTGTTTTAGATAACAATGGTTTGAAGTAGGAACATTATCGCTGGCTATGATAATAAAATACAAAGAAAGTTTCCAGTTGGTATTGGATTTGATTTGCATATTCATCCAAAATCCTTCTTGGAATCATTAAATTAACACCAAGTTTTTCTTTCCAGTTCTGGGAAATCATCTCTGACGAACACGGTATTGACCCCACCGGAGCATACCACGGAGATTCTGACCTCCAGCTTGAAAGAATAAACGTATACTACAATGAAGCATCTGGAGGCAAATACGTGCCCAGAGCCATTCTGGTCGACTTGGAACCTGGTACCATGGACTCTGTCAGGTCAGGACCTTTCGGACAAATCTTCAGACCAGACAACTTTGTGTTCGGCCAGTCCGGTGCTGGAAACAACTGGGCAAAAGGTCACTACACCGAGGGAGCTGAATTAGTAGACTCAGTTCTGGATGTTGTGAGGAAAGAAGCAGAGTCTTGCGACTGTCTACAAGGATTCCAGCTCACACACTCCCTTGGAGGTGGTACCGGATCCGGAATGGGTACCCTCCTGATCTCAAAGATCCGTGAGGAATACCCCGATAGGATAATGAACACCTACTCCGTCGTACCCTCGCCAAAAGTATCAGACACTGTTGTAGAACCGTACAACGCTACCTTATCCGTACATCAACTTGTAGAAAACACAGACGAAACTTACTGTATTGATAACGAGGCTCTCTATGACATCTGCTTCAGGACTCTGAAATTGACCACCCCTACCTACGGAGATTTGAACCACTTGGTATCCCTTACCATGTCCGGAGTCACCACCTGCCTTAGGTTCCCTGGTCAGCTGAATGCTGATCTCCGTAAACTGGCTGTTAACATGGTTCCCTTCCCTCGTCTTCACTTCTTTATGCCTGGATTTGCCCCACTAACATCCCGTGGTAGCCAACAATACAGAGCTCTCACTGTTCCTGAACTGACCCAGCAAATGTTCGACGCCAAGAACATGATGGCTGCCTGCGATCCAAGGCACGGAAGGTACCTTACAGTTGCCGCAGTGTTCAGAGGAAGGATGTCCATGAAAGAAGTAGACGAACAAATGCTAAACATCCAGAACAAGAACAGCAGCTACTTCGTCGAATGGATCCCCAACAACGTGAAGACTGCCGTTTGTGACATTCCTCCCAGAGGTCTGAAAATGTCCGCCACCTTCATTGGCAACTCAACTGCCATCCAAGAGTTGTTCAAACGTATCTCCGAACAGTTCACAGCTATGTTCAGGCGTAAGGCTTTCTTGCATTGGTACACTGGGGAAGGTATGGACGAGATGGAATTCACTGAAGCAGAATCCAACATGAACGACTTGGTGTCTGAATACCAACAGTACCAAGAAGCGACTGCCGATGAAGATGCAGAGTTCGATGAAGACCAGGAAGCCGAAGTCGATGAAAACTAAACATTTTTTACATCTGATCTGAAATCGCTTTAGAAATTTTTTGTACTTTGAGCATGTTTTTTGTACAGTCCACATTCCCTTTTGTAAATTCGAATACAACTTAACTTATTCAAGACTGACTTTTTGTTGCTATTATTTCCAGTGATTATCTAAATTAGTTAACTTGTTTTTGCATATTTTGTTCGAGAAATAGGCATTAAATCTGCTGCCATCACTTACATTACTCCTGAATTTTATTGATCCTCATCCCAAAAGTTAAATTCATAACTTTCATCGCACTATAATAATTTCAATACAATTAATTCATGAAAAAATCCTAAGTTTACACTTTTCATTATAAAATATTCCAATTTGAAAGCCTTGTGTATGATCTTCAGTTTTTGATAACTCCAAAGTTCAAAATATTTGCACATTTTTATATTTTATAATATAAACGTTACAATTAGAAAATATTCTGAANAAATGAAAAGTTAAGAGATTCCAAGCCAAGTTACTTCACGACGTTTCGATTGTATCTGACTGGAAACCCATAATCAAGCGAAAAATGGCCAACTCCCGCCAAACGGTCATCTCCCACTAAACCAGTGAAGCAGAGACCTATAAATAGTCAGCTGTCGGAGGAATCAGTCCAATCATCACCCGAAGACGATTATGGATACTTACAATCGAAACGTCGTGAAGTAACTTTGCTTGGAATCTCAACTTTTTATTTTTTGTTCCATTTTTACTTGTGTTTTATTTCACTATTATTTCATTTCAGGTTTATTTGCTTAATATGATTGTTATTTTCAGCTATTCATTTTTATTCTTCTTTAATTTTTAATTCTTTTTTAGTTCTTTCAGCGATTTCAAATCATTTTATATAATATCAGACAATGGAAGTCCGAAATAATGCTAGTGATATGACGTATATCTATTGCTGGACATTGAATTTACCCCAATAGGTAGATAGGTCCTGGCAGGTCCACAGTCGTGGCCACCTCGGTCACCAGATCTAAAACAAATAGGTTAGATTTCTTTTTGGTGAGATATTTCAAGTTCCTAGTGTATACACCCGTGACATGATCTAAGAAAGACAATTACTGGATGCCTAATTGTGAGAATACTCTCGGGATATTTAAAACGATTCAATGACAAGACGAGAGTGTGTATTATGGCTGGCGGTAGCCATTTCAAACAGTTGTTATATTAGTTTGAATGGTTTTTGCCGTTTATAAGGAAATAATAGGTTTGTCCATTACATTATTACGATTTTTTTATCGACCTTTTTTGGGTATATGTTACCTTCCACAATCTGAAAAATATAAAAATTATAATGGAGAACTTTATACAAGTGTAGAAGAACCCCCGATAAGTTACTGCGTAAAATCAGAATTTTTCACTAGGAAAATCTTCTATTTATCGGTAACTTGTCGTATTTAACAATTTTGCCTATCAAAATAATTGTTAAGAAATAATGCAATACTTATCTTAACGTTTCGGAGGCCAAAATCTGCCTACATCTCGAGAAATGGACAAAAAATTCTAATATATTGGTAGTTATTCCTTTTTGATTATTTACTTCTTCACTTCTTCGACAGATGTCAAAAGAGTTATGAAATTATGTTGAATTGACTTTCGTTGAATACCTGTTATTACGATATTTATCATGAATGGTAAACTATACAAAATAAAAATGACTTCCATCGTGAATGTTTATCAACAGCGTCCAGATGCATTTCCACCAGAACTGTATTTAATTTTTCAGAAATCAAGCTCTATATTGAAGCAGTTTTTTACATTCTAGCTATTATCTCAAATATCTCTTATACAGTGTGAAATATCGAAATTGAACAAGGGACAAGACTAAACAAAAACAAAAAATTTTTAAAAAGAAAACACTTTAAAAATATTACCAAAAAGCACTGCTGTAATACAATACTGCCTGTTTTATACACAAATAACAAATATTATCAAGAAACACTAAAACGATTTACCGATTACAGTCCCGGTCCGTCAAGGCATCCCGTCCGAATAATTAAATAAAAACCAAATCCGTACACTAACAGAGACCAACTGGAGGCTAGCCTCCTCTAAAGCCGGCCGCAAGTTGAGACGCAGGTCGTGAGGTGACGCATGGTGAGTCACGGTGAGAAAAAACTGCGGGTGGGTGGACCCCCGCAAGTTGAAACGCAGTTTGAGCCTACAGTTCTTAGGTGACGTGTCTCTTGCCTTTCGATTTTCAAATGGATTTGGTTTATGAACTTTCAATTGATATCAGCTCCGAATCTGAGTCAGAAAATGATGAGGAGGTTGAATCGATTATTTTTGCTAGCTTCGTATCGCTTTCCTTTGCCACTTCCTCCCATATTGAACTTTTTCAATTTTATTCGCAAATAGTCCTCATGACTAGTGTCGTACAGAACGCGACGATTTCTAACTGCCTCTATTAATTTTTCCTCCATTTCACTTGACACGCCGTGACTCACTGAAGAAATCTGCGGAAGGAGGACTGCATAACGCAGGGTCACGGACCGTGAAAACTGCGTCACGTCACCCTGCGTCGGAACTTGCGGGATTCCTATCATTTGTATGGTTCGCAGAAATACAACGTGACTCACCCTGCGTCACCTCACGGACCTGCGTCTCAACTTGTGGCCGGCCTAACGCTATAATTTCTGCAACTAAAAGTACAAATCGGGACGTATGTCGCGGGTTGGATCGGCCTCACGAAGCTTGTGTTTTTTAAAACGGTCGGAGGCTTGGCTCCCTTGCAACGTATGGCATTTATTATTTCGGGTTCATCGTTTATTCGTTCATGGGCGGTGCGTTTGAGGTTTGTTGATGCAGGATACAGTGTGGTACATACTACGTAGTGAGCGATAGTGTTTTCTCGAGCATATTATGTATTTATATTAAAAATTAATGGTAAAGTAATGATACCCAAGCATTTTTAAAAAAAATAATCATAATTATTTGTCAATATCTTTTAATTTATTGCGGTGAATAGCCTCAAATTTTATGGGGAGGCTAAGCCTCCCTTGCCTCCTCTGACGAGCCGCCGCTGCTCATCTGATATCGATGTCATGAGGGTGCATAATTTATTCATTTTTGACAATCATGCTTTTGAAACTTTACAAAATGAATCTCAATTGGGCACAGTATTCACGGACTTTGTCGAGGTATTTTCTTAAATTAATTAAATATTAGTTGAGAAATAGATATTTCATTATTAAACATAATGGAAAGTTGATACAATTTAGTTTGCAAGATTTGATTACAGACGTTTATAGCTTCAGGACTGGTAAATTGTAAGAGATGTATTTTCAGGAGATATAATTTTTTTAAAAATAAATGTTTTGGCTTTCTACTTTTCCATCTTCATACACAAAAAAGTGGGAATATTCCAATTAACTCTTTATATCATGCAAAGAAGTAACTTTTAGACACAGACTAGAAAAAAAAGCCCTCTTGAAACAACTGATTTCAGGTGAACATTGAATTACATTGGTAGGTTTTGGTCGAGTTTTGGTTTTGGTCCTTAAAATATTCGACTACCTGATTGTTTCACACAGTTTACCCAATTTCAGTAAGGCAATACCTCAGAAATGATTTCTTTACGTCTATTTATCTTGTAAGATACGTACCTTCAAGGAAAAAGGACAAGACAGCTGCGTATTTCTAAATTGCCTTCGACTATGCAGCTGCTGCCGGTAATGTTGACACCCAAAAGTATTTCTAAAATTCAATAAGACTACAATTTACTATTTTCAAATATAGAAGAAAATATTACACCGAGGCTTTTGAAAAATTTACGACTTTGTTACATAAATCACAACTTTAGAATTCTGTTACACGTATGTATGCTAAGATACAATTATCATCCGCAATATTCTGGTACATGTTACTCATACTTCTCATTTTTTGAAGGTTTGGATTTGGAATTGAATTAACACCGAGGGAGCTGAATTAGTAGACTCAGTTCTAGATGTTGTGAGGAAAGAAGCGGAGACTTGCGACTGTCTACAAGGATTCCAGCTCACACACTCCCTTGGAGGTGGTACCGGATCTGGAATGGGTACCCTCCTCATCTCAAAGATCCGTGAGGAGTACCCCGACAGGATAATGAACACCTACTCAGTCGTACCGTCGCCGAAAGTGTCGGAAACTGTCGTAGAACCCTACAACGCCACTCTATCCGTACATCAACTTGTAGAAAACACCGACGAAACGTATTGTATCGATAATGAGGCTCTTTATGACATCTGCTTCAGAACGTTGAAACTGACAAGCCCTACGTACGGTGACTTGAACCATCTGGTATCCCTCACCATGTCTGGAGTCACTACCTGTCTTAGGTTCCCTGGTCAGTTGAACGCTGATCTCCGCAAGCTGGCTGTGAATATGGTTCCTTTCCCGCGTCTCCACTTCTTCATGCCAGGATTCGCCCCTCTTACGTCAATGGGTAGTAAGCAGTATAGAGCCCTCACCGTACCAGAACTTACTCAACAAATGTTTGACGCCAAAAACATGATGGCCGCCTGCGATCCAAGACACGGAAGGTACCTCACGGTTGCAGCGATATTCCGTGGAAAAATGTCGATGAAGGAGGTTGATGAACAAATGATGAACATCCAGAACAAGAACAGCAGCTACTTCGTCGAGTGGATCCCGAACAACGTGATAACAGCTGTGTGCGATATCCCTCCACGTGGTTTGAAGATGTCCGCTACTTTCATCGGCAACACCACAGCAATCCAGGAGCTCTTCAAGCGAGTTTCAGAACAGTTCACTGCTATGTTCAGGCGGAAGGCTTTCTTGCACTGGTACACCGGCGAAGGCATGGACGAGATGGAATTTACAGAGGCTGAGTCCAACATGAACGACTTGATATCGGAATATCAACAGTACCAAGAAGCGACAGTGGAGGAAGAAGGAGAATTTGACGACGAGGAGGAAGTGGAAGTCGAAAATAACTAGTTTGTTGGTTAAATGTTCAAAAATGATGTTGTACACTTTTTATTTCCAGTATTTTTGTATATAGACATTCCTCTTTTGTTAAAACGAATAACAACTACATATATAGTTGGGCTATTACGACCTTCTGTTGACTTCATTTTTATTGTTCTCGTTCGAAGTACTTTGACAGATTGTTTTTAAAAATGAACAATAAATACACTGCCATTGTTTATATAAAGCCTTATTTTTCATTAAGTCCCATACCTATGTACATATCCTCTGATATACTTCTACAAAGTGACAAACTGAACAAAATTAACAGTGATTTTTTTGTGTCTACTTGACTGCTCCGCTTGGTCATCAGCCTCATGTCCTGAATAGGCAATGTTTATAACTTCCCCAGCCACCAGGGGTGGCTGCTTGGTCATTAGTCACGTGATCCTGGAAGATCAGAAAATTTACCAAAAATGATGTCTAACACCAAAAATTGTAGTACCAACATTTATAGTTGAATTGAAGGGTCAAGTTTTTGTACAAAAAGGTGGTTCGTCTGAATATTAAGGAATGAAAAAAATACTTGGCAGCTGAGTAAACAATAATGCTTTTGTGAATTGAAATTATTTCCAGATTAAACGTTTACATAAAATATCCAATAATTTTTATAATTGGAGTCTGGATTTTTCCTTCCTTGGATCCATTCTTTGAAGGTCTTCGTCAGGTTTCGTCTATTTTCCTGAGACAACATTTTAAATTTTTCTAGAATCTTACTGTTCTATAGTCAGGCCATGAATGATAATATATGAAATACAGATACCTGAGAAATTTATCCTGTATATATCTTTCAAAAGTTTTGGACTAATTTTTATTATTTGTTTTCGAACATTTATCATACTCGCATGGAAGTTTTAACATTTCTAGATTCTGCCGAATAAAAGTCTTTGTTTGATGCCAGAAACTCTCCCAGTAGTCGTTTTTCGCTTGATAAGAGGTTTCCATATGTTACGTATCTCTACGCTAGCTTGGCAAAATGCGTTGTGGGACAACATACACGCGGCTTCTTTGAATTTTCTTCTAAACCAGTGTTCATCCTTGTGGATGATTTCAGCTTGAGCCCACTTGATGTTATGTTGATGAGTCCAAACATGCTCTGCCATTCCGGATTTGCTGGTTTCTCCTCGCTGTGTTTGTTTCTTGTGCTCAGCAATGCCAGGAGAAACCAGCAAATCCGGAATAGCAGAGCATGTTTGGACTCATCAACATAACATCTAATGAAGCGGTGAGAGGGAAGAGGGTATAGGTGAAAGCACTCGAATGACCTATAAATAGTCAGATCTCGGAGAAATAAGTCCAGTTATCACCCGAAGATTGTGGATACTAACAATCAAAACGTCGTGACATAACTTGGTTTTAAATCTTTTAATTTTCGTTTGCTTGTTGATAATATTTTTTAATTTTCAGCTTGTATTAATATTTCAATGTTTTTTTTGGTTGTTGCTTGTATGTTATTTCTTTGTAATTACAGTTTTTTGTTCAATAATATTGTTATTTTTCGGTTAATCTTTTTAATTTTTTAAAGATTTCAAATCAATTTATATTAAATTAGACAATGGAAGTCCGGACTGATGAAATACACCACGAAACATTGTCAACCACCTTCAAATGAAATGCTAAGGTACCTGGCACTGCAGCTGACTAGATGCACTTACGGAAATACATGGAGGTTGAGACCAGACGTGATAAATGAGTATGCACCATGGCCTAAACCCATGATAAAATATGCACGTTTGGATTGATGGCCACAAAATAAAAAGTGCCAGATTGCTTGTTTGGGAATTGCGGGTGCAATGAGAATCAGCATGAGAAGCAGCATTGCTGCTGTTGGGGTGATTCTTCCTTTGCATCTTGTAAAAACGAGGAGCAATAGTGGGCTAATAAATCATGGAACCTTCTTTTGGGTGGCATATGCTCTGGAATGTCTCAAGTTATAGCAATAATCGTCTTCGTAATTCATATAGCCAATTTTATAGCTATTGACATATAAACTGTTGTCAATTGACAGTTTATGGATATATCTTGCATACTTTTACAAGGTATGAAAACATTCATGTTTCATTCATACAATGATTTATGGGTTTATTTAAAATTCAGTTGATTGAACAATTATACCCATTATGTAAATTTGACCTATTATGTCGTTTATTGTGGCAAGTATTTTTACTACCAACGGAAGTAGGTATATTATGAGGAAACAACCCGGCATATTTATATTTAAATCTTACATCACCAAAATTGTTATAAAAATAACGCCAAATGATACGTTATTAATAGTTGAGAGTAATGCAAGTTAACTGAGGACCTCCAGGAAATCTGATCGCAATGAATAGAGACAGACCATAGCGACGTGCGCATACTGACTTCATAGGCGTGCAGAACTCCATTAAAAGAGATCCTACTTATGATAATACGACAAATTTCTGTGGAATAGTCTAGTGATCCAAATATTTGAAAACATGTTGGGTATCAGGTTCTAATAATTAAAAAAAACAATTGTTTTCTTGCCAACGTTTCGAATTTGATTAAATTCTTCTACAGGGCTCTGTAACAATGAATTTTCTAAAACAATTTTGATACAAACTTCAGAACCGTTGTAGTTTTTCAATGTTGTGAGAAGTAATAATGAAATTACTCACCGATAAGGAGTGTTCCATGTCAAAAGTATTACTAAATTTAAAAATCATCAGATCTGTTAGATATATATGAGAAATAAAAAACACTGTGGCAAACAAAATATTTAAGACCAACACAATACGTTGACAAAAAAGTGGTACCTGTTTTCATTAATGTAAGAGGTAATTAGAGTAGAAAAAAAGTATTTCGGTATTTTATTGATTAAGTTGAAATGTGCAGTATTGGGGCCATTGACATCCCTTCTAGTGTTGACACTATCGTGTTTGAGGGTATGAATAATTTCGCTCATAATTTTTTTGAAAAATATGGCAGCACTCTCAGACACTTGCGTTATTATAGATGCCAACCAAATTTTAAAAGTAGACTGGTAGGTAAACTAAATTTTTCGAAGAGATTTTACTCTCATAGTAAAATAACAGTGAAACCAATATCATAAGAAACTTGGAAATCAAAAACTATTACCATTTCCGATCCGGCGTTCCAAAACATAAATTCCCAACTAATCGAAAATTTTATGGTGATTCCAAAGTCTTCAAAATCCATAGATTTATTTCACCATGAATGAACATGGCTTAAAATTGTGAATCTCTTTACATTTTCGAATGCGTTCCAAAGTCTATAAAATCAATACATTATTTCACCATAATGAACATGTCTCAGAATTGTAAATCTCTATAGACTTTGAAATGCGTTCCAAAGTCTCTAAAATCAATAGATTTATTTTACCGTGAATGAACATGGCTTAAAATTGTAAATCTCTACTGACTTTCAAATGCGTTCCAAAGTCTCTAAAACCAATAGATTTATTTGACCATGAATGAACATGACTTGAAATTTTAAATCTCTATAGACTTCAGGATGCGTTCCAAAATTTCTAAAATCAATAGATTTATTTGACCATGAATGAACATGACTTAAAATTGTAAACCTCTATATATTTTGGATGCGTTCCATAGTCTTTAATATCAAATGATTCATTTCACTCTAGGGTTATGAATTTCTGTTCTCGACCAAACGTCTTCGTTACAAACACCGAAAAAAAGTTTGTTGATTCAGTAGCTAACATTTACATTGACCTTAGAATGTGCCTAAATATTTGTATATATTCATTCCTTCCATGTATTACTCTTTGTCATACACAATGACAAACATACATATGAAATTCGTACCCCATTTTCTTTTTTTTTGAAGTAGTTATCCTTTCGATTTTGTATGCCAAAATTTAAAATAATAGGTGGAATCAATCTTGTATGCTATTGTAGTCGATCACATGATTCAATATGGATATAATATTATATGATACCAAGTAATCTATTAGTTGATATTTCCAATTATAGTCATAACGGTTAGATCATCCTCATTTATCGTAGCAACAAAAATTATCACAAGGACATTTCTATCAATAGACTTCTATCTCACGTAGATACAGTATTTTATAATATAAAGGTTACAATTAGAAAATATTCTGAAATATTAAAAGTGTTGAAATCGGACACTTTTTATTGGAACATTCAAATTGGAATGGTTTTTGAAAGATTTCATTCTTTGACAACTTCAAATATAACACCAGTTATTCCAATAAAATGTATTGTCATCTTCAGGAAAAAGCTACAAAACATATTAATGATTTTAAGATTTACAAGACAAAGTTAGGACTTACTGTTGTTGAGGTTAGCCGTGTCAAAAAAGATGTAAAACTTGTTGAAGCAAAACATGTCAAAACAATGGTCACTAAGTTGAAATATCTTGCTTCGGTGAGGAATCAGGATATTTTAAGTCAATAACTTGTTTCGTATTGACATGTTTTGCTTTCATAAGTTACACATCTTTTTTAACAAGGTTCACCTCACAGCAGTAGGTTGTAGCTTTTTTTTGTAAATCATAAAGTTTACTATCATTAATACTTTTTGTAGCTTTTCTGAAAATGATACATTTTATTGGAATAACTTCTGTTATAAGAGTACACTTCTGTACTGCTGTTTACCCAATGATGTTTTCCAAGTTTTGTATACATACTAGGCTTGTTCTGGTTCTCTGCCTGGACTTTTCCTCACAGTCAGAAAACAGTCACCCAACTGAATACTGAACATTTTTGTTTGAAGGTGATTGACAATGTTTCGTGATGAATTTCACTAGTTCGGACTTCCATTGTCTATTATATAAAATGANCCCCAGAGGTCCATATTGTCTTAAACCCTCTTTTTATGGTATATCAACGACTTGTTGGAAAAAATCAAGAATCCAATCTATTGCTTTGATGACGACAGCAAACTTGTCTCTTCATTTCATCTGGATTCTAGGACATCGGCTGCGGATGCATTCTTCTTCGGCAGCAGGAGATTGCATAACTCAACGAGGATCTAGAAGTGATTTCGCATTGAAGTGAAACTAACCAGGTTCAATTCTATGCCACAAAAACCGAGGCATCGGTTTTCTCCATAAAGATAAATGTCTCTGAACTGGATATGATGATATCAAAACAAACAATTCCGCTTTCTGCTTCGATAAGTTTGTTGGAGAGTTAAAATGGACACCAATATGTCATGACAC